CATGACAATGTCATGGAGAAAAGTGTTGACATGCTGTTTTACTATAGTATACACAGTCCAAAGTCACTGACTAGATGATAAATTCGTTGTTGTGATTATTATTTGTATCACATTTCATTTGATAACTGCAATCATCTTCTGGTTGAAGACCGAGATTACTTTATTCTATTTTTTAGAAGTGCAAGCAGGCCTAATTTTTTGTTCATAAGTAATACAATGCAGTGCTGGTAGCCTTCAAAAAATGTAGATATAAAATTTTTGGATTTACAAATCCAATCATACATTGCTGGAATTGGCATAATAGGGTACTGATAGCTTGCATAAAATATAGATATACACTTTTTTGCATTACAAAGCCATGATAAATCCATGATACAATGCTGATAACTGGAATGTTATGGGGCTTGTAGCTTGCACATTATTGTCCATGAAAAGAATGTAACCACCATCTTCCCTTTTAATAGCACCTTCTTCATTTATCTTGCTAGGGGAGATTTGCATTTGCGTTTGTCATGGTCCAGACTCCCGCACACACCACATTTCCTTTTTAGCTTGGGTTTTGCAATCTCAAAACCTGACTGCTTTCTTTTTGACTTTGGCCGCCCTTCGTTGTAGTCTTGGGAGGGTCTAGTATCAACTTTGTGTTTGAGGATGGAGCTGCATCAGGATGTGGGGGCTAGATGGCAAAAGCATGATTGTTTTTGCTAGCATGTATCGTCACACGCACACTTTCTTGTTGTGTGGGAGGGTTACCCTGTCGCTGCACATAAGTAGCACTTTCTTGTTGTGTGGCGGGGTTCTCCTCTTGCTGCACATTAGTGGCACTTGTTTGCTGTGTGGCTGGGTTCTCCGGATGTCTTGCATCGGGGGCGTTTTAGTGCTGTGTGACGGAGTTGTCTTGATTCACCCGCCCCACAGGTATCGAGCAGGGATCTGGCTGTCCTTGAAACGATCATGTTGCTTCTTCCTTTTCCTTTCTTGCTTTTTTAAGTTGATTATTCTTCAGGGTTTCAAGCTCCTCCTTGAAATTATATAGGTGTTTTCTTGCCAATCTGGTCCCATCATCTGTTAGGCAAGCTTCTTTGGCTGATGCCTTAAATTCTTTAAGAATTGACGTGTATCGCATGACGCTTTTCCCCTCCTCTGGCATCGACTTCTTAACTGTTGGCTATTCGAAATCAGGTTGAATAAGATCATCCTCTGGATCCAAGGTCCACCTCTTTAGGATGTACTTTTCAGGTATCTCGTATACTCCAATTTGGTCCATAACTCGTAGTACGTGTGTGCACAGTAGCCCATCACGATCAAACTTGCAGCAAGTACACGAGTATGTCTCTTCATCCATGTTTGCTTGCACATGGTAGTCCCTGTCTCCATATTTTGGTATTATCCCCCGCACTGAGCTGACCTTGAAAGTACCATCATCCAATGTGTCGCATCTGTAGGCTGATTTCACCTTCATCTTCACCTGGAACTTGCAAAACAAGTTATGTGTGTACAGCCCCCGCACCTGCATCTCCAGCAGGTTCATCGAGTACATTTCGGTTTCTTTGTACACTGTTTCCAACTGCTCTTTTGACACGCTAGCCATCACCTTATCCTGTATCGCAGTGTACTGTTGTGCGAATTCGACCAATGAGTTGTTTGGGTTGACATACTTCTTGAGCATAGAGTTAAAACCCTCGCTTCTTGTTGTGATCTGCAAGAACGGGAAAAAATCGTGCATATAGTATACCGGGACCCAACACTTCACGCTCTCCCACAGCCATTGGAAACGCTCGTTGTCGGTCTGGCCATACGCTTCCATCATCACCCACCACTTGTGCTCAAACTCCTCAAATGCATTCATAACATAAACATGGTAACATCAAGTATTGAAGGATGGTAACATTGATTCAAACATATTGGTAACTAGGAACACCACTGTTGTTGATAATTCTGTCACACATACCTGGTTACTTTAGTTCAAGCATCATGGTAAGTACTTTGCACACAGGATGATTTTTTTCCACAGCGAATACCACTCTATGTGTGTAGTACAAGTAACATTTTTAACTAGCAACAAAAAGGAGATTCCTATCAATCAGCACTAGTTGGTGATTGAAAAGTTTTGTTTGTAACTAGTGGGGTGAACAATTGAAATGTGTTCAACAAACATGAACATGATAGGGGTAGTACAAAAAATAATTAATGTAGGTAATTTTGTTATAATCCTCTGGTAACTTGTCACCTTATTACATGGTAACTGTTGATATCATGCATGTAAACCCATTTCCTTGTGTTTTAAGTTAGTGAGGGTGGGAAGTAAAATACCAGTCAGATTGTTGTCAACACAATCCTTGAATGCATTGTTTAGTGGCTCATCGTCATCCATCAGCTTCCCAAGCTTCTCCTGTGCTTTTTTCATTATATGTCAGCGGCAATTCATGTGTACTATCCCGATGAACACCTCATCAATAGCACTCCTCATTGCAAAATCTTGATCTGTTATTATGTTCTTCGGCGCAATTCCACCCATTGCATGCAAGAATGCATTAAACAGCCACACAAAGTTACCAGATAGTTCGTTTCGGACAAACCCACAACCAAACTGGATTGACTGCCCATGGTTATTAATGCCAATGAAGGGCGCACATGGCATTTTGTACATGTTTGTCATGTATGTTGTGTCGAATGAGATGGCATCATTGTATCTAGCATATGCCATGTGCAACGCACCATCTATCCAGAACAAATTTTCCACTCTGTCCTCATCATCAAGCTTTATTCTCCAATAGAAATCTGGATCGTGTGCCTTCATATCTTGGAAGTATGAGATTGTGCTCCCCACATCAGAATGGCGGTACTCCATCCGGAATTTAGCTCGCTGGTTTGCGATGTCCTTTGTTGTGTATGGTACATCTTTAGGATTCCCATAGAACCATAACATTAGTTGCATCTGTCTTGCTGTCTCTATGTTGCATCCGTGCAATATCTTCAAAAAGTCCTGCTCATCTTTTGGAATGTTCCTATGTGATGATAGGAACTTTGTCAAGGACGGCTTTCTTATCAGAGGGTGGTTGTGGTCGTTGTTGAAGCGTTTGACTCTCCACCACGCATCCGTGTGGGTGATGTAAAGGTGGGCTGGACATCCCGACTTCACAACCTTCCCTCTTTTCCTCTTCTTCATGATGCCTTTTGGGTCCTGCACATCCTCTGTCTCCTCTTTGTTTGTTTTTGGCTTGCCGTATTTCCCACAAACCAAGAGGACTCTGCTTACAGTATCGTCTTTAATTGTAAGATGTGTCTTTCAAGTTAACTTGTGTGCTTGGTTTGGTCGACTTAATCAACCTCAACCTTAAACCTGGCTTGTATTCAATGTGGGCTGAATCCGGAGCTTGACTTGTTTCTTAAACCAGATTTCTATTTAGTGTTGAGCTTCTATTTACTGGTTGCACTTGTTGGTCTAGTAGATAAAAGTGATTAATCTTTTGCGATTCAACACAATAAATTTCTGGTGTTGGCTGTTTGAAATGTATGTGCTGCTTCTTATCTATCTAGCTAGCTAGTTTGTTTATGGTGCCACGTTGGCATGTAAACAGCTTTAAATCTATCAGCCTGGTAGCGTTTGTGCTCCTGCAAATTGCTTCAGCAAGTGCTTATCTGAACCGGTAATGTTCCTTGTGTTCATCTCTAGATAGAGTATCTCCAGATTATTGAGATTTGATCTGCTATGCTACTGTTTTATTACAGGTTCGTTTTTGGATCAAGTCGGTGCTTTTGGAGAATGAGATGGTTGTGAGGACTAAAAGGAACAAGGGCTTGACATGCCTCGCTCGCCTACTGTCTATGCGTCTCATCGCCTCCGGCTGCTTGGGGGTCCAAGTTCTCGCAGTTGCTGCTGCTGCTTTGGCTGTGGCCTATATAATGTTTTGGTCCTGGTAATGTCAAGTAGTCGTTGCACATGGTGGTAGCATCGTTCTTGTGATGCTCCAGGTTCAGGGCCCCATCTTATTCTAACTTGTAAAGAAAGAATCTTGCTATGATGGATCGATGTTGTTGAATCAGTTCATCATCGGAATATGGACCTGCTCATAATATTATTGGCAAACGCGTACTCATCTTGTGGCAATCTAATGTGATTCGGCTGCTGTTGATCTGTGATCCGACTTTTGATAGATTGATCACTCTAATCATGAGTTTCTTTTCCCCCTTGAATAGTAGCACAATGCTCGTGTGTTGCTGCCATTGGAGCCACGAGTAGCCTACTGACTGGTTGAAACACGCTGTAGCGTTTTATTAGACCATTCTTTATCTTATGTATACTCCCCTAGTAAATAAAAAAATATAAGAGCATTTAGATCACTATAGTTCCACATGATTGAACATGCTGCATGTACTGTTTTAGTTTAGGGAATCAGCCAGCGTTGATTTCTTCAGGCCAGTGACTCATCTTCCACTCATACCGTCATACATTATGGTTAGCGAGTTTCATGCACAGTTACCATGATTGCTTTTGGAATCAACACACTTAAAAGCGAGCTACCTGCTCTCGATCGGTTCACTCACTAGCATGCGCTGCAACTGGAACTACAGTAGCTGACTAAAACGTGCATGTGCAGTTGCCGTGTGATACATTTTGGTCCATCTCTTTTCTTTTCAAAAATTCCCTGTACGAAATTTAAACTAGCTAGCCAGGCAATCTGCAAGAGTGTCAAGTAATTTGAAATGACCTATGATGTTTTCTGGACAACATAGATCACAGTTCATCACAACCATAGCAGCCTGATTTACACACAAGGCCAAGCAAGCAAACTAGGCACACACACATGCATAACAGTACTACTCCAGTATAGATAATGAAGAATGTCATCCAGTCTAGATAATACATAGCAGAATGCGCATTAATTAGGACATCATAACACACAGCAGGAAGCATATATAGTACTATGGTCTCACTTCACAGCTGATAGCATCACACGCACGACCGCTGCGACAGAAGATTCACTCAGACTCACTCTTCAATTGGCATGCATCTTGTTGAGTTTCTCTGCGAGCTCCACGTCCATCTCGGAACTGAAGTGGACGACGTCCATCTCTAGCATGTCATCCACACGGCGGGTTCCAGGATGGGTGATATCGTGCGGGATGTATTTGGCGTCATCAGGATACACAATTTTCCTCGCGGTTTGCTCACCATAGTAGCAACGGCCTATCAACAAAACAAAACACGACCATGCATGGTTGAGTGAGACTACTACAACACACGATAATAAGAAGTCAATCAGCCGTGCCGCAGAGAAACTAGTGGGGGCTTACCCGCATAGTCATAGGGTAGAGGGCAGCAGGTCTCTGGCCTTGGCCCACCTGAGAACAAAAACTCAGCGAAGAATAGCCTCCTCTCACGCTCCAAATGGGAAGTAGCAGTGAAGTTCACGCGGTAGCACATCTCACCCAAGGGGGGGCGGCCTTTGTTGATTGCCTCCACGCCACAGATAATATCAAGTTTATACTGCTGCTCCTACAACAAGCAAGCAAGTCGAGTAAGAGAGCAGGCCAAATGAAGGTAATTAAAGCAAATGTACGTAACAGATAAGGATACCTACCCAAAAATGCTGGGTCGTGTAATCCTTCAGCACCTGTTCAATCTTTGAGCGGAACCAACTCCTCCGCTCCTCATACTTTGATCTCATGCTTGACACGAACATCAAAGACTTTGGAAAAAGTTTAGGAGCTTGCACAACGCCACCAGTTTTAGCAGCCACCCAACCGCGCCACATGCGGCTTATATGATTTGTCATGTCCTCGATGCGCAACACACTACATTGAATTTGAGCCTCGGACGTCAAGGAGAGCAGCGCTTGTCCCTCGGGTGCTACCATCAGCATCTCGTGCAGTTCACCCAGCTGAAGCGGTAGAGGGTGTCCAGCGGCCTTGGCAACTTCATGGAAGAGCTTCTTCTCTTTAAACATCCCTGCCGATGATGGAAACCTGTCAAAAACGTCGCATCCTGCACTGCAGAGCAACTCCAGAGCACAACCCTCTGTTGAGAACCCGCCGTGTGCTGTGTCCAGGATGGCGAATTTGGCGAGTTCCACAAGGCCCTTGAGGGAGTGAACCTGTGTGCGGAGCAGAGATAGGGGGTCCAGGATGTCATTGTATTGCTCAATCTTGCTGCGTTCAGACTCTGGGAGAGGGCAGCCGTGGCTGTTGTCCCAAATGGAGTTGACGATGATGTTGGAGACAGGGTCCATGGAGCCGTAGCAGTGGCCGGCCATGAGGAAGGCGCGCATGAGCGAGCCGGATGGTTTGGGCAGCAGCTTGAGCACCTTGACGCAGCAGATATGAATCATACCGTGGAGGTGCATCTTGAGAGTCTGCAGGTAATCGCAGCTGTCACTGCTGCACAGGTTCTCCAAATATTGTTCCAGGCCAGCTGCTCTTTCCAGGCAACGTTCTAGCTTGTCAGGCAGTCCGCACTGCAGCGACGAGATGGGTTTTCCGTCCCCAGCAGAGAGAGGTGGAGGTGGTCCTGGTGTCCTCTGTAGCGGAGGGGGTGGTCGACCACACGGTGTCGAGGTTCTGACGAACATGGACAACCAGCCCTTTTGTGGTATGGCTTACGCTGGCAACACAGGGCGGGCTCATCATCATGCGCAATATGCTGTCGATTTCTCCGACATCATCAGCCTTGAGAGGGGTATCTGCTGCTGAAAAGAGTTGCTTCTCCAGAAGGTGAAAGTCGTCGTCTTTGAGCTGGGATGACATGAGCTTAGTCAAAACGGTGGGGGAAGGGTGACCTGCGATGGTGGCCGCCCACTCGAGGGCGGCCTGCGTCCTGCCGGATTCAGGGTCCAGTGTATCCTCCACCCTATAGTAGAGATCGTATTCGACGAGCATGACGGCGAGGCTGAGATTGGCGCCCGCCCAGTAGATGTAGCGGGCGGCCTGTTCCTTGGTGCAGAGACATCCGAAGTACGCCATGAGGAAGGCCAGGAGACTGTTGTAGGACCTGTTTGCAATGTCGTGCCAGGCCCAGGCCTTGCGCACTAGTCTTTTGGACTTCTTTGTGGCGGGTGGAGCGGTGGAAGCTGCGGCGGCGGCGCCTTCGGGGAGGAGGGCGAGGGTGTTGAGGATGATGTTGGAGACGGGGTCGAGGAGGCCGAGGCAGGTGCCGGCGGTGGTGAGCAGGTCGCGGAGGCCCGGAATCCTGTCGCAGGGCAGCCGGTTGAACGCCTGGTCGTAGAAGCCGACGATGAGCTCGTAGATGGCCTTTTCGAGGTCGGGGTAAAGAGGCAGAGGCGCATCCTCGACGCGGCATTTGAGGCTGTGCGCGCAAGACACCAGCCCCCTCCTCCCAGAGCCGGAAGAAGTGGATCCAGAAGCCATCAGCGGCGACCGGAGCGTTTTTTGGGGCGGGGGACGGCCAGGAGGGCGGCGGGTTGCTTAGGGTTGGGGTAGAGGACGAGATGGTATTTGGGGGCGGGGGGTGCGGCGGCGGGCGGCGGCGTGGGGCGGCGGCGGGGGGCGGGGAGAGGACGAGATAGGGTTTCTCCCGGAAAGTATCAGTGCGAGGAGGATATGAAGGGGAAGGGCGTAATATTTTTTTTATTTTTTTTAGGAAGGAGAAGGGCGTAATAAAACTGGCGAAAATCCTATATCTACGAATCCGAACCACGGGTGGCTTAGGGGCTTTGGGCTCCTCGCTGCAGCGCACGAGGATATGAGCCGGCCCAGTTCGCTGCCTCCTCTTTTTAGTACTATTGCCTCCTTTCTTTCTGTTTTTCATGTTTTTATTTCGTTTTTTAATTCCTTTTTGGTACTATTTACACATTTAAATATCCTAAACATATGTATTAAAAAACTTTAATTCACATAATATATTTTTAAAATGTTAATCATGCTTTCAAAATATTGAATGTGTATACAAAAAATGTTGACCATGTATTAAAAAATGATGAAATTTCGTAATCATGTTTATAAAAATATTAATCGTGTATACAAAAATGTTAATCAAGCATTTAACAACTGTTGAACAAGTATTTTGAAAATTCGAACGAGTATTTAAAATATTGAACGAGTGTTTTTTACATAATAATGCTTTATGGAGTAATTCTAATATCTTTTCTCTCATAATATGCCAGGTTTACTCATAGAGGGAGAATGCTGGCAGCTGAAATTCTGGACCTGAAAAAGCTACGTCAGAGTTACCTAGTATGCACATCTCCAAATGAGCTGAAAATTTACGAAGAATTATTTGGGAACATATGAAAAATACTAGAGCAAATAACTACCGGAAGGGGCCACCCTGGTGGGCACAAGACACCAGGGCGCGCCCTGGTGGGTTGTGCCCTCCTCGGTCCACCTTCTATGCCCATCTTCTGATATATAGTTCATTTTGACCTAGAAAAAAATAAGGAGACTACTTTCGGGAAGAAGCGTCGCCGTCTCGAGGCGGAACTTGGGCAGGAGGACTTTTGTCCTCCGGCGAAGCGATTCCGCCAGGGGAACTTCCCTCCCGGAGGGGGGAAATCATCATCATCGTCATCACCAACAACCCTCTCATCTTTGGGAGGGCCATCTTCATCAACATATTCAACAGCACCATCTCCGCTAAGACCCAACAACATCTCCTCTCAAACCCTAGTTCATCTCTTGTGTTCAATCTTTGTACTGGAACCTCGGATTTGTACATGTGGGTGACTAATAGTGTTGATTACATCTTGTAGTTGATTATTATATGGTTTATTTGATGGAAGATTATATGTTCAGATCAATTATGCTATTTAATACCCCTCTGATCTTGAGCATGATTATCATTTGTGAGTAGTTACTTTTGTTCTTGAGGTCATTGAGGGAGTCCTGGATTAGGGGGTCGTCGGGCGTCCGGACTATGGGATATGGGCCAGACTGATGGGCCGTGAAGATAAAAAACAGAGGGCTTTTCTGCCGTATCCGGGTAGGACTACCATATGCGTGGAAGGCAAGCTTGGTGTCCAAATATGTTATTTCCTTCTTTTACAAACCGACTCTGTGTAACCCTAGGTCCCTCTAGTGTTATATAAACCGGAGGATTTAGTCCGTAGAGGCTATCATAATTCCCATAGGCTAGGCAGCTAGGGTTTAGCCATTACGATCTCGAGGTAGATCAACTCTTGTAACCCCTATACTCATCGAATATAATCAAGCATGAAGTAGGGTTTTACCTCCTTTAATGTGACGCCCTCGATTCAATCGTACACTAATCATACACGCAAATGTGCACGATCAAGATCAAGGACTCACGGGAAGATATCACAACACAACTCTAGACACAAATTAAAATAATACAAGCTTTATATTACAAGCCAGGGGCCTCGAGGGCTCGAATACATAAGCTTGAAAACAAAAGAGTCAGCGGAAGCAACAATATCTGAGCACAGACGTGAGTTAGACAAATTTTGCCTTAAGAAGGCTAGCACAAAACAACAACGATCGAAAAGGCAAGGCCTCCTGCCTGGGAGCCTCCTAACTACTATTGGTCATCGGCGTCCGTCACGTGGTAGTAGGCACCCTCGGGGTAGCAGTAGTCGTCAAAGGTGGCATCTGGCTCCTGGACTCCACCATCTGGTTGCAACAACCAGAAAGAAGAAAGAAGGGGAAAAGGGGGAGCAAAGCAACCGTGAGTACTCATCCAAAGTACTCGCAAGCAAGGATCTACACTACATATGCAACATTATCAAAGAAAGGTTGTATATGTGGACTGGGCTGCAGAAATGCCAGAATAGAGAGAAGGTCTAGTCCTATCGAAGACTAGCATCTTCTGGAAACCACCATCTTGCAGCAAACAAGAGGGAGTAGAGTAGCATAAGGTAAAGTAGTAGTAGTGTTATCAACCTCGGCCAGAGATCCTTTCTCGACTCCCTGCGAGAAAGCAATCCCAGAGCCATACTATCCAATTAACATCTCAATCAAATCCTCATCACCATCCAGTTCTCATCACAAGTATCCAGTTCTAGTTGTATCGATCGGGATACAACTCCAAGTGTCCGTTACCGTAGGACAGGCTATCGATAGATGTTTTCTTCCCTGCAGGGGTGCACCAACTTACCCACCACGCTCGATTGACTCCGGCCGGACACACTTTCCAGGGTCATGCCCGGCCTCGGCCAAACAATACGCCGCAACCCGACCTAGGCTTAATAGAGAGGCCAGCACGCCGGACTAAACCTATGCCCCCAGGGGTCATGGGCCATCTCCCCGGAAACTCCTGCACGTTGCGTACGCGGCCGGTGAGCAGACCTAGCTACCTCCCTAAAAAGGCAGGAGCTTACCAGTCCAACCCGGCGCGCGCCGCTCCGTCGCTGACATCTATTAAGCTTTGGCTGATGTATACGACGCAGAACGCCCATACTATGCCCACGTGATGGTTAGTGCTATCAGGCCAGAGGCCCCTCGGATCAAATATCCAAATCGTAGTGGATTAGGAACGCGCGGTAACAAGCAGAGCCTCACGAAAGAGGTGACCCCGTTGCCCCGTCTCGAGGACTTGCGGCAAGGGCTAAGAATGCCCGGCCACGCCCCGTAATTATCTCACGGGCACCTTCCAGGTCAACCCGTCTCCACATCACTTTCCAAGTAACAGTTGTAAAGTCCAAGTATCCTTGTGTCCAAACATCAAGAGGAAAACCCAAGGAATCACCCCCGGTGGGTTCCACTCAATGTAATCATCAAGGTGAACGTAGAGGAATCACCCTCGAGGTTCACACTTGAGGGGTTGCACGACAGAGCCGTATCGGAAGTGGTTAAAGAGGAAATCACCCTCGATGACCACGATCGAATAGCTACACTACAGGTTAACATCAGAAGTGCTGTAGAGGTCTCACCCTCGGCACTCGATAGTAACCCAGTAGTGTCGAGCAACTAAGGGGAAAGTGATGTGCGGTGCCGGGGCCTGGTCTTCAATCCCGTTGATCGGGTCTTCAAGGATGAAGCAGGGGCAACAAGGACAAGGTGGGGGTCACTGATGGATCACTAACCAACCTATACTAAGCAGATTAGGGTAAGCAGGTAAGGTACAATAACAGGTACAAAAGCAGGCTATGCATCAGAATAGGTGCAAACAATAACAGTAGCAAAATCTAATGCAAGCATGAGAGAATGGAATGGGCGATATCGGGATGATCAAAGGGGGGGCTTGCCTGGTTGCTCTGGCAAGGAGGGGTCGTTGTCAACGACGTAGTCGATCACCGGGGCATCAGCGGCCTCGGGGCCTACCGGAGAGAAGAGGGGGAAGAAACAGTAAATACATAGCAAACAGAGGTAACACTAAGCAAGACATGACGATACGTAGCGCTAAGCGTGCTCTAACGCGGTCCTAGACGTTATAGGTGAAGGGGGAAAACAACCGGGAAGGTGTTCCCGGTTCCGGACCTGTGTCAGACAGATGACCGGAGGGGGAAAGTTCCATGTTCAGCATGCTAGGGGCATGTGACAGATGAACGGACCGCGTATTCGGATTCGTTGGATTTTTCTGAGCAACTTTCATATAGAAAACATTTTCATCGGAGTTACGGTTTAAAAGTTACGGATTTTCAAAGTTTAAACCAATTTC